GCGAAGACATAGAGGTCACTTTCGCTCTTCGCTACCGCAGGCCGGGCCGCTCCCGGTGAAATAAAACCCAGGCCTCGCAAAGCCCGGCCGTCGGGGGCTCAGCTCCCCGCAGGTTCGCGGTCTTGGCCTCGCAAAGCCCGGCCGGTCCCGAGCGCGGGCCCCGGGGCCGAGCAATCGTGACCAAGAGGCGCTGGGGTAAGAGGGCAGCCCGCAAGCCGAGGAGCAGGAAGATGGGAGAGAAGAAAAGAGGGGCCAAGAACACGTAGCTTCTTTTTTTTTTTCTGATTTAGAACTGTCATGTGGACTTCTTTATTTTCATATGGGGGGGGGGTCAAAAGTGGGGGACATTGAGAAATGGGGAATGACTGTAGCTTGCTGCCTCTCCACTGTGCCTTCCTGTTTTCTGGTCTACAAATCTGTGTCAGCCTCAAATTACCTCCAATAAACAAATATATAACATAAAGTGTCCCTCTCTTTTAAAATTATACTAAAATAAAATAAAATATCCCTCAGTTCATTGAAATAGCCTGAAATAAAATACTACCCAGGTCACATTCCTCATGGAGTCTCCACCAGTCACCTGCTACATCTCTCACAGATAAAGTTAACGCACTCAAAAGTGTTGGAATTTCTACTTGGAACTGAGTAATTTGTGCCACCTTTCTACCTGTTCACCCCCTCCCACTTTCTTCATTTATATATTTATTTTCCGAGAATGGTGATAACTATGTATGGGAAAATACATGTTAAGACAGTTTGTGTTTATTTTTTAATCCTCCAAGTTAATTCTATACATTTGATACAATTCCAATCAGGCAGTACTTGTTCAAGAATGGCTGTAGGAATAAAGTCTTGGAAACAACTTAAATGCTGACATGAATAAATAAAATGTGCAGTAGTTAAAAAAAATTAGACATATATATTTTGAAAAGATTTTTAAACTGATTTTTAGAGAGGGAAGGAGAGGGAGAGAGAGGGGGAGAGAAAGAGGGAGAGGGAAAGGGGGAGAGAGAAACATCAATATGAGTGAAAAAATGGATCATTTGCCTCCTACATGGCCCCTGCCCAGGATATAGCCCAGGACCCGGGCATGTGCCCAGACCTGGAATCCCCCAACCAACTCAGCCACATCAGCCAGGGCTAGACTTATATTTATCAACATGAATAGATCTCATAGTATAATGATATTAAATTTCATTCCTAGCTCCATCACTAAACTAGGTGACTTTAGGCAAGTCGCTTACCCTCTCTAAACCTGCTCTCCAATTTTTCAAATGTTACAAGATCTCAATGATATTCTGCACATCAAAGTTTCTTTATCAACGACAAAGTGATCTATGGCTGCAAAATATCACACATATTGTAAATACCTTATATGATCCGACTACATCAGTGCCTCCTACTGCACCACACCTCATGCTGAATGGGTCTCCCATATGCCCCCAACTCGGCAGCCCAGGTTCTCCAGATGGAGGGGACCCTAGGCCTCCAGGCACTTGGGCTCTGGGGGATGGAGGTGAGTTAAGAGGCTGGAGGGTTGGGCAAAGTGGTTCATTATCACCTTACCGCCCCTTTCACAGTTTTCCCTCTTCCCTAATCCCTGCCCCCAGTTGCAGTTCACCTAGTCCTCCTCCTCCTCCTGGCTCTTTCTTTGCCTGGCTTTCAAGCGTGTGGAGCGTGGAGGGGCCCACCTGAGCTGCAGGGTTGGAGTGGGAAGTGGACTGAGATTACAGTGCAGGACTATAATTGGGAGTCGAAGAAGAATTTTCTGACCTTCCAAGGCAGGTGGCTCAATACAGTTCGTTCTCAAAGAAGAGTCCCCTGGCCGCCCTGGGGATGGAAAGGGATGGGGGCAAGGGGTGGTGGTGAAGACACTCCAGCACACCCAGCTGAGGGAGGGGGAGGAGAAAAAAGAGGCTCTGAGAAGGCATAGGAGAATTCTGATTCTTGTGTTCTCTCCAGAAGAGAGAGGCTTGCATCACACAGCTAACGAACTTCTTCCCAAATTCTCTGTGCTGCGGGGATTTGCCTGCTCCCAGAGGGGGATCCTTTCTAACAAGGTGCCCCCCCCAGCCCTGCCCCTCCTTCCCCAGAAGCTGAAGCCGCCAAAGGTTTGTGGAATATAATGGATCATTTTCCAATTTACCAGGGTCTTAGAGATTACGCCGCTAATCCCATCAAAGACCATCTGCTTACATTGTCCTTCCTGAGCCAAAATAAATAGATCCTTTACTCCCTCCACCTCAGCTCCTCTGGGGTATTGTTGCCAAAGAAAGTTGGACAAGGCCCATCCCATTTCCCCCTCCCTCCTGCTGCGGGCTGGACAGAAAAGGAGAAAACAAACTTAGTTTGTCTGAGGTGTGAAAGGTCGCTTATGCTCCTGACCTGCATTCTTCTCGGGAGCCTGCGATGATGGGAATGGGGAGAGGGGCGGGCCGGGGCTCTGGGGGTCTGCGAGGATCAGCCCCCTGCGGAGGTGTGGGACAGGCTGTTCCTCGCCCCACAGTCCTGCTGTCTCCGCTCCGAGGCCACCTTAGCCCCAGCTCATTTTTGGTCTCTTTCTCTCTCGTCTCTCCTGAGTTCCTCCCACCTGTGACGGTCACGAAAAATAATGATTAAAATTTAACTTTCCTCTCTCCCTTGGCAGAACTGTTGGGGAGAAGGACACAAAACCCCACATAAACACTAATTTGATTCCGTCTGAGAGTCATTTATTCTATAGGCTCTTCACATTGTCCTCTTATTTGTTATGGGGGTTTCGTAAATGTGGGGGAGCAGGAGGCTTAGGACAAGCTTCTTGGGAAGCTTACGGAGATCAGGCTCAGGAATGAGATCGTGCAAGTTATCAGTAAAAGATGATAACGGCCATAGAAGAGAAATGGAATACAAAACAGGGTAAGGGAGTGGGGGGCGGTGCCTCTTTGAGAAGGTGGCATTCGAGCGAAGACTTACCGGAGATAAAAGTTATTCAAAAGGGAATCAGGAGAAAGAGAGCTTCACACACAAAGAATAGCCCTCCCTTCCCACAGTTTCCTTCTGTCTTGGTCACTTCTGTTCCATTCTGTCCCCTAACCATCACTCTTAGCTATTTTCTAGTCTGCTCCAGAACTTAAAGGGGCTCCCCGCAGCCTGTCCGATCCCCTGCAGATGGCCCCCAGCTCTGCCCAACACACCTGGGCTCCCGCAGGGGCACATGTTTCACTTTAGAAAAGCAACAGACAGAAGCCGCACAGTCACGGGAGTCAGGAAGATGTCATTTTGAACCAATCCCAGCTCCGCTACCTGCTATGTGATCTGGGGTCTGGATCCTGGCTCTCTGACCATCCATTTCCTCATTTGTAAAACAGAGACCATGCCTAGCTCACAGGACTGCTGTGAAAAATCAAGGAGATATATACAGTTCCTGGTGGGTGCTCCATACAAGAAACTGTGCAAGACAGAGCAGGGACTGAGCCCCACACCACAGAGAAGTTAGAAAGGATTTGCTCAAGAAATTTAACAGGGATGTGTGAAGCATTTATATATTTAGGGACAAAGTATGAACTCCCAATCACAACATTTGTTCATTTGACAAGTGTTTGCTGGATACCTCTGGGTACAAGGCACGAAGAAACACACAGGGGAATGAGGCTCATGCCCTGATTAAAGGGTGAAGACAGGGACACAAATTACTGGTGTACATAGCAGAACATGGTGTGTGCTCAGAAAATGAGATAGAAATTCTACGGAGAGAGAAAAAGATAATGTTCACTTGGGTAATGTGGAGTCAGGAAAGTTTTCATTAAGCAGGAGCTGGGCAGTCCTTGAATGGGCAGGACCCGGACCTGCAGAATGTAGGGGAAAGCAGAGAAAGTGAGAGACCACACTTGACAAGAGAGAGTGCTTATCAATAAGACCTCAACATTTAGGTAACTACAGCTCACTGTGAGTCAATAACATGATATAACTGCTTAAAGTGATTGTGTCTTTGGCTCTAAGAGCAGAAGAATCACATCTAGATCAAGAAAGGTGAAAACTGTTACTATTCTGTGAAAAGGTTTCATCTGAAGTGAGATACTGACATATGAGAGGGTTGAGAAGATAATTAGCCAAAAACAAAAAAAACACACAAAACAACAACAACAAAAAACAAACAGTGAAGGGGCTGGGCTCTGCTACACACAAGGCGTGTGACCTGTGGGGGTTACTTGACATGTCTCATCTTTGTTTTCCTTATCAGTAAAATGAGAATGCTATTTACTGCACAAGGTTCGTGGTGAGGTTAAATGAGTGCCTAACACATGAGAAATACTTAAAATGCTTCTTCAAAAATAAAGCATTGTGAAAAAACTGCTGGATGCCTGAGACATGGTATCTGTCTTTACTTATTTAATGGGCCAGGCCCTGGCCAGGTAACTCAGTTGGTTAGAGTGTCATCCTGACATGCCAAGTTGTGGGTTCGATCTCTGGTCAGGGTACATACAAGAAGCAACCAATGAATGCATAAATAAATGGAACAACAAATCCTCGATGTCACTCTTTCTCTCTCTCCCTTCCTCCCTTTCTCTTTCTCTCTCTCTCTCTCTCTCTCTCTCTCTCTCTCTCTCTCTCTCCAATAAATAAATAAGTAAATAAATAAATATTATTGAATGGGCCATCATGAGAAGAGGGACAGACTTACTTAATGGTGCAGGAGAAGAATCAGTGAATAGAAATAAGCAGATTAGGGTTGGCATGAAGAAGAATGTACAAATGCCTGGAAAAGGCCAAATATAGAGAATGCTAGGTTAAGAGTGGCCCCTCATCAGAGATGTAGATGAAGGAATTTCTGTTTGGTTAAGTGGTTGAACTAGCCAGTCCTACCATGTCTCCCCAGTGCCAAGATTCTAATCCAAAGCAGTGGATATGTCAGCTTAAACAGAAAACTACAACCTCCTTGAACGTTCCATGAAGGCAGGAACCATGCTCATTTGTTTATTTCTCTATGAAGTGCCCAGAGGAGTGCTGGGCATATAGCAGGCATTTGATTGATATTTGTTTGATGAGTAAATGAGACAATGCATGGCAAATTTCTTGTAAACTGTAAAATACTGCAGGTGGTTAGAAGTGGCAATGATAATGGCTGATATTGTGTTCTGTTTCAAGTGCTTTATTTCTTTTTGTTTGTTTGTTTAAATATATTTTCATTGATTTCAGAGAGGAAGGGAGAGGGAGAGAGAGATAGAAACATCAATGATGAGAGAGAATCATTGATTGGCTGCCTCCTGCACGCTCCCCACTGGGGATTGAGCCTGCAACCCTGGCATGTGCCCTTGACCAGAATCGAACCCAGGACCCTTCAGTCCACAGGCCAACGCTCTATCCACTGAGCCAAACCAGCTAGGGTCAACTTGCTTCTTTCTTATACCCTTTTGAGAGCTGGAACCAACCCCCGGTAATATGTATCTGGCTCCCTTCCAGGTTTTCTCTCCCCTGCCTGCTTCTGTGTCTTTCCCATTAGAGAGAGTGCCATCATGTGAAAGCACCTGTGCAGAGAAAAGGCGAATACCGAATACCAACGAAGTGCCGCTTCTTTCAGACAGCCAGGAAGAGGCACTCCTCTCTTGATTTGTTGTCTCATGCTGCCACCTGGTGTCCTCAAACCTTAGAATACCTTACCCTAGAGACCATATTTCACTCATTCACTCAGATGCACTTACTCAGCTCATTCATTTTTTATTCACGGATTTGCTTAATCTTTTGGCAAAAATATACTAAGCCTTCCTTCTGGCCAATTATGATGCAAGTCACCCCATCCCTCCGCTTGTTTCCAGGTAACCCTGTTTTCATGCTGCCCTCTGTCCCTTTCTCCCTGTTTAAAGAGACTCCAGCTTTTCTCCTCTAAATATCACAGATAACTCCAACCCACTCCCTCTAGCTATGGTTCAAACCCATTCCTTTTGCTAGCAGGAATGGAGACAAGGGGCTCTGCAATCTCTCCCAACAGTGGGTTTCCGACCTGAGACACGAGGTTGAAGGGCATGAAGAATGTCCACTGAAGCCCTGGCTGGTTTGGCTCAGTGGGTAGAAGTGGGTAGAGCATCAGCCTGCGGACTGAAGGGTCTCGGGTTTGATTCCAGTTAAGGGCACGTTCCTTGGTTGTAGGCTCCTCCCCATCCCGGGCCCTGGTTGGGGCTTGTGCAGGAGGCAATCAATCAATGTGTTTCTTTCACATCGATATTTCTCTCCGTCTTTCCCTCTCTTCTACTCTCTCTAAAAATCAATGGAAAAATATCCTTGAGTGAGGATTCAAAAAACAGCAACAACTAAACAAATACCCCCCCTCCACACACACACACACACACACACAAATAGTACACTAGAGCAGTGGTCGGCAAACCGCGGCTCTCGAGCCACATGCGGCTCTTTAGCCCCTTGAGTGTGGCTCTTCCACAAAATACCACGTGTGGGCGCACACGTACAGTGCGACTGAAACTTAGTGGTCCATGCGCAGAAGTCAGTTTTCGGAAAGGAGATAGACAAAACAGGTATACAAGACGAGTGTGGATGGGAGAGTTGGAAGGGGTCGACCTCAGCGAACGTACCTCAATCAGATTGAGGACGTTTTTAGCAAAGGCCAGCTTAGGAGTACCCTAATTAAGTTAATAACAATGTACCTACCTATATAGTTTAAGTTTAAAAAATTTGGCTCTCAAAAGAAATTTCAATCGTGGTACTGTTGATATTTGGCTCTGTTGACTAATGAGTTTGCCAACCACTGCACTAGAGCAATATACTCCAAACCGAAGATACGCAGCCTGGAGACAGGGGTCTTTTACTCCTGCAGAGTTGGAACTCCTTCTGTGGCACAAATGCGCCTCCCAGTGGTCATGCCAGGTTATGGCAATGTCGTCATCCCCCCCCCCCCGCCCCCCCCAAGGAGAGTGGGGCGAGGACAGGAAGAAAAGGGGCTGGAGGGGCTGAGCTGGGCTGGGAAGAGAGGTAAGCAAGCAGCGTCATTTAATCTGCACTGATGTGAATTTCCAAAATGGCGGGCACATTCTTATTAAAGTATAAATAGATAAAACCCATTTTGAATTGGTTTTATGTAGCCCTTCTATTACTATAATAACTAACATTTATTAAGCTCTAATCTTTGCTAGGCACTGTTCTAAGTGCTTTACTTGCATTGTATAGACCCCTCAAAACTCACAGAGACTCTGCAGAGAGATTAAGTAACTGTGCTGAGTCATATGAGTAGTAAATTGTGGGGCCAGGCCCTGAACCCAGATCCGTCTGTCTCCAAAGCAGGGAACATGGTGTCCCTCTATTTCTTTGGAATAGGCTGACAGGGGTAAAAGTAGGCAGAGTTTATTTATGTCAGAATCCAATGGAAAAAATAATCTCTCTTGCCCTGACCGGTTTGGCTCAGTGGATAGAGCGTCGGCCTGCGGACTGAAAGGTCCCAGGTTTGATTCCGGTCAAGGGCATGTACCTTGGTTGCGGGCACATCCCCAGTGGGAGATGTGCAGGAGGCAGCTGATGGATGTTTCTCTCTCATCGGTGTTTCTAACTCTCTATCCTTCTCCCTTTGTCTCTGTAAAAAAATTAATAAAAATATTTTTAAAAAAATAATCTCTCTTCTTGGAGTTAGCTCTGATCTCTTCCAGCTTGCTGGAATGTCTCCTGCCTACAGGGCAAGTTCCTTCAGAAACACTGCATAGAACCTCACCTGACAGAACCTGGAATTCAGAAGTTGAAGGATTAACAAGAATGGATCAAATGTTTATTTTGATTGGTTAAAATCAGTCAAACTAAAATTTACCCACAGAACGTGGCCTACTATTTTTTTAAAATCGATTTCAAAGAGGAAAGGAGAGAGAGAGAGAGAGAGGGAGAGAGAGAGAGGGAAACATCAGTGATGAGAGAGAATCATTGATCGACTGCCTCCTGCACAACCCACACTGGTGATCAAACCGTGACCGCCTGGTTCATAGGTGGACACTCAACCACTGAGCCATGTCGGCCAGGCTTGGTTCTGTTCTTTTTTTTTTTGCTTCTGTTCTTAATATTCTTCTACACATTTTCTTTTTGAGAACTTGTTCAACTGTCACTTCTATGAGATTACTTGCAACTCAATATTGTAAAATGATTGAATATTGGAGTTGGAAAGGAATTTAGAGATCAGATACTTCAGTCCTCTCAATCCATAGAACATAGCTGGATAACAGAATTCTGTAACTCAAAAGAACTTTAAAGATTAACTTGCTTAATTTATAAATAAAGAAATTTAGGTCTCAGAGAGATTAAATGATGGTCTTTTCTATTTCACCACACAATTCTGTGCAATTCAAGACATATCTACTGAGCTCCTACTTTGTGCAAAGCACACGTGGTAAGTCATATAATGGAGAAAGAACATGATATGAGACAACAGAAGAAAAAAAAGTTCCAGTTATGGATATCTGATTATTATATGAGTAGATTTAACTAGATTTTGAGGAGATTGGCACATTCTTGTTGTGTGTGTATGTTTTTTAATATATGAGGAAATAGTCTCAACAGATTAAGCGACTTGTCCAAAATGACATGTCCAAAGTGACACTGTGAAAGACAAGGCCTGGTCTAGAAGTCAGTCCTAACTGAAACTCCAGTGCCTTTTCTCTTACACCTCAGTTTACTGTCAGCTCTATTTCTCCCAAGTACTGTCCTGTATTGCCAACTGCCTGCTAGGCATTTCTAAATAAATGTCCATCTACGGTCTTGTTTTACCTAGTCAGTAGCACAACCATTCTTTTTTTGTTTGTTAATCCTCACCTGTGGATACTTTTCCATTGCTTTTTAGAGAGAGTAAAAGAGAGGAAGGGGAAGAGAGAGAGAGAGAAAGAGGCATCGATGTAGACATATCGATTGGTTACCTCCCACACGTGCCCTAACCCAGGACTAGGGATTGAACCTGCAACCCAGGTATGCATTTGACCAGGCATCGAACCTGAGTTGATGCTCCAACCACTGAGCAACACCGGCCAAGGCACACAACCATTCTTCCAGTTGGGATGGATCAACATCCAAAAGCCACGTATGTAGCTGGACAAGTGGAATGAAAAGTTAACTAGAAGAGGACGTTCTACCAAGAAAAGGCGGGGGCCTGCAAGCAGGCCACGTCAGAACAAAGTCTTGCACGCAAGACTTATTGTTCAGAGGCAGAACTTTCCTTGATGTGATACATAGTCCATGAGGGCATGGAAAGCCAGGGAGGGTACACTGCTGCAGGTGGAAAGGGTCTTTGTATAACAGGAAATTAATAGTGTAATGTATAACTTAGCTCTGATGATCTCAAAAGCATGCCTGTTAATCATTGTCACTTGCTGTACTCCATTGTTATTTGCTGTACTCCCCAAATAAAAGCCATGAGAGCTTTGGGGGCTTTGCTACTTGCCTGACTAGCGGTAGCCCTCTGCTTCTCTAAACTTAATCCTGCACGCCCAGCTCATCTCAGCGTCACCGTTCACAAAGAACATCAACACACGTACAACAACATACAACAATACACACAACTACAGCATACCTCAAACATATTCTGGCAATAGGTCGTATTGACTTCAAAATGTCTCTTTTGCCCAGGCCTTTCTTTGGTGACCATTTCTACTACCTGGGCAGAGAGCCTTATTATCTTAATACCGGTTTTGTCTTCAGTCACTGATAAACTTTAGAGCCTTAGAGGTTCTTTCACCCAAAGAGAGAATAGTACTCCTGTTCCTGACCATGGTCAGCCGGCTACTGCGCAGGGTCCTCAACCACTCTCAGGACAGCTGCTTTCCTATGAGACACCCAAGTAATTAGTAAGTTCAGTCGCTTACCACTCAACAAATGTTTACTGACCATATTCTCTGTTGCAGGCACAGTGCTCGGTAGACTGGAGATTTAGCTGCAGAGGGCTCCCCACTGGCCTTCTGCATTCCCACCTTTCCTGTCTTTGTTCACTGGCCTTCAGTAACTTCCAGTTGTGTTTCTTCATCTCTAACATGGAGATAATATCTTGAAGGGTTGTTCTGAAGATCAACCGATAAAATATGTGTAGAAGTATTCTGGAAACCAAGTGTGATATAGGTAAGGCTTTCTCCCTTGTTTCCAACTATGTAATACATAATTGGGGTGGGGGGTGACTCCACTATCATCTTTTAAATTACATCTTATACATACAAAAGGATAACTGTTATATGTGATATAAAAATAAAATTGCCCATAAATTTACCTTTAACCCAATAATTAGAACATTACCAATAGCATCCACCAGTTCTTCCCCATCCCATCCCCAGCCTCTCTCCGAGGTAACTACTAAAGAATTTTGTATTTATTATTCCTCCTCTTTTTAAAACGTTTTATCATATATACCTAAAGAATATGTTGTCTAATTTTGCTTGTTTTGAAATTTACAAAAATTATTTCAAATGTTTGCATTCTGGGATTTCTTTTTACATCCAATAATATGTTCCTAAGATTAATCTAATCCAGCTTCATCTTCTTCTCGTGGCCTTTTCAGATCACAAAAGCACATAGTGATCTTTCCCCTTAGCACTCAATGTTTATATAAAAAATGGGCTGAAACTGTACCTTCACTTTTCCTGTATCTTTAAGTGTCGTGTCATCACCTCAACTAGACAAACTCCTTGGAGAGCAGGGAGGCAGCTTGTCAGCACTGAATGGGGAGTTAGGAGGCCTGGGTTCCAGTCCAGGCTACACCCCCACAGGCAGTGTCTCAGCCTCCCTTCCAGCGTCGGAGCCTTGATCCTAACTGTGAGGAACTCCTGAGATGGTGGATATAACATATAGGTGAAGAAAGGCGTTCTGTGGAAAGTAATCCCACCGTTGTGATCCGAGATGAATTCCTAACGGGCAGGCTGTGGTGGGTGGCCACGTTCCAGGCCTATAACCTCTTTGGTGAAAGGTTTGAGTCCAGCCCTGTGCATCGTTCTTGTGCAGGTAGGTTAACACCCCTTCCAAATGCCGGAAGTAATACCCTTCCAAGGGAGTAACCCTGTTAACTATCTTATAACCCCCCCCCTCCCTTGCTTTCTCTCGCCTTCTTAATTTCAAATGCGTTAAAAAGCTGCAAAACTGTTATTCTCTGGAGCATTTGAGATCTTTCTCTCCAGGATATGTCATCAGTTTGGCTCAAAAAAAAACACAACTCATAAAAATTCTCTACAGATTTGGATGTTTCTTACGTCAACAAAATGCTTGGTAAACTGAGAAGTGTCGTTCTCAAATTAATATTCCTATTATTGTTGGCCCAGAGGGATCTCTGCACAAAGACCCGAGCTAATGGCTGAGTTAGGGGATGGGGTGTCCTCCCTCAGGGCAGGGACCGAGTTCGTTCGGGATCCTCCGGGCAGAACCAGGTCTGACGTAGCGGTGACGGAGGCCAGACATCCGGGAAGACTTACCAGGAAGACAGAGGGCGCTACCTGCCCCTCAAACTGGGCAGAGAAGAGGTTAGGTCCACGCATGCGCGCCTCCTTCTCTAGGTCTTGGTGAGACCCAGCCCAAACTGGTTCGCCGGGCTTCCCCCCACACCCTATAGGGGCTCAATCTTTTGTGTACGCATGCGCCTTTTCCGGGCTTCGGTTGGCTGACGATCCCATCCGTCATTAGGAGAGCCAATGAAATGAGCCTCAAGGTCCACGCCCCGCAGTGGGGGACACTGGGAGTGGGACCGGGTCTTTGTGGGACCCGTGCAGCGGTGGACCTAGTCCTAGGGGGTTGAGGAGTCTGTTCCGGCGCGGGCAACAGTTGGCTCCCGGCCGCCCAGACCATTGCCTTCTTTGTCATGTTACAGCCGGAGGGTGAATGGCGGGTGAAAGGGCCCGTGTGAAGGGCGGCGGGTTCAACTCTGCTTCGGGCAGTGTCGGAGGGGTGGTCGCCAACCAACCATTGAGCCCTGCTGTGCCAGGCACTGCGAGGCGCTTGGGAATGGCGGCCTCTGCTCCCCGGGGCCCTACGGGCTGCAGGGGAGGTTTGACCAGCGCTTTTATGCCTTCCCCCTCCTCCCCCTTCGCCTTAGATGGAGATTTCTTCTTCCCGAGATCTGAACGGCTCCATCGTCCCCGCCCATCCCTGGCCGCCAGCGAGGACTAGGCGCCAGCAGCCACTCTCAGCTGAGAGAGGACGGGCGCCGCGGCCGCGTGAGGGCGGGCCTGGGCGGGCGCGTGACCCTCCCGGTAGGCGGGGTCCCCCTCCCCCTTCGGCCCGGGGTGGAGTCACCAGCTCTTCCTCGGCACGTGGCGGCGGATGCGCTGTAAATAGGAGTGACTCTGGGCGGCCACGCTGCGGAGGCAGGGGCCGCGCTTTACGAGGCCAAACCGCCCGAACGAGGCCCAAGAGCTGTAAACACGTGGAAACGAGTACAAAGCACAGGGGACGGATGTTAAACACACATCACTTGACCCTGGAAGCAGTTCATCCTGGGCCCCCGGGCTGACATGAACTAGATCTATCCAGGAACAGCGCGAGGCCCGTGGGAGGAACCCGAGAGTGGCCTCTTACTTTGGGGCCTCGGGTTCACCAACTGTAACATAGACGCTGCGTCTCGTTATAGAATCAGCCCTGAGCCTTGGCTGGGCAGTAACACAGAGTCATTTTAAGTCTGTAAACCAGGGGTCCTCAAACTCTTTAAACAGGGGGCCAGTTCACTGTCCCTCAGATCGTTGGAAGGCCGGACTATAGTTTAAAAAAAAACTATGAACAAATTCCTATGCACACTGCACATATCTTATTTTGAAGTAAAAAAACAAAACGGGAACAAATACAATATTTGTATTTGCATGTGGCCCGCGGGCCGTAGTTTGAGGACCCCTGCTGTAAACAAACACGCAGTCTGTGCGGGCTCCAGTAGGAGCGCCGCTTTGGAGCCTGGGGTGGGGTCGCCTTATGCCCCTTTGACATCGGCTAGATGTTCTTGAAACAAGTTTCCACAATCACAAGGCTGGGAAAGTTACTCAGCCCATGGGACTGAGGGGTGGTGAGTCAGAAGAACATGAGGTACAGGGAACTGGCCTGGCCGCCTCCGCTGGAACAATCCGAATCCACCCTTTGCTTCCTGCCTCCCCAGAGCTCGCTCTTTGGGGAGTAGGAGCCCGGTGGGTGCTAATCCTTCAGTGGGCTGCCGACCGCGAAACCCAGGAAACTGGAACCCACACTTGTTTTCAGCCTCATCGGTGCTCCTGGAGCTGGAAAGTGGAAGAGAAGCTGCAGGAAGTCACCACGCCCTGGAAGGAAAAATCCTCCAGGTTCGTAGCGCTCCGTCGTTTACCGAGCGCACTTTCACATGCGTTATCTCGTGTTAGCCTGACACAGACTGTGTGCTGGGCACTGAGCCGGACGCACAAAGGGATGAGGCATGCACTTTTTTAAAGGAGCTTTCAGACCGATTTTAAAGAGAAAATTGAAACTAGTACCCACATTTTCAGGAAAAATGAGGCAGGTGCTATGAAGGGGCAGATTCCTAACACCCCATTAGAGAAGAACACAGCCAGCTGGGTAGGACAGGGGAAATAAAAGTTTTATGGAGGGAAAGTTGTAGGAGTAAACCTTGAATAACAGGAAAGTTTACAAAGATAGAAATAGGGGTGTAAGGCAGTGTTTTAGACATCTTCTTACCCAAGTCAGCTCATTTATTTTCATGTCTTTGACAAGTAGCAGTAATAAAAATGACACGATTGAGCACTTATGATGGGTCAGGAGTGGTTTTCAGTTCACTTAGAGGTATCATTTAAATCTCACAGCAACCCACTTACACAGGAGGCAACTGAGGCATGGAGAGGTCCATCTCCCAGTCATCTTCCCTTATCAAGAGAAAACGGAATGACCTCCAGGGTTGCACTGCGTGTCTTGCCTTTAGAACCAGATCTTCCTAAGGCTCCCACAACCCTCACCACCATCCCTAACCCTGAAATTACCCCGGGGAGCAAAGTACCACTTCTCCCCTTATGCCCCCGAGAAGGTACCCCTGAGCTTTCCCTTGTTTCCAACTCAGTTTGTCTAAAATCTCGGAGCCACTGGAGCACCACCATCCATCCAGTCAGTACTCCAAGCACGAGTTTGGGAGTTACTGACCCTCCTTCCTTCCCTTTGCTACCTTCACCAGGCAGTTTCCAAGTCCTGTAATTCTACCTCTCAAATATCTACTAAATTCATCCTCCCAGTTGTAAAGGACCCTGACTGGGCCTCAATTTTGCATTCCTCCCAGCTGGTTCTCTGCAGCACCAAGAGAGAACGTGTACGGGCAGGAGCTTTCTGAAGTGCAAATATGGTCACGTCCATCCTCTCCTTAAAATCCTTTGATGACCAAACATCTTCTGCAGAATAAAGTCCAGATTATGGCAATCAAGGCCCTTCCCAGTGAGGTTTCTGCTACCTCTTCAGCTTTATCTGCTATTCCTTTAACCTGCACCACAGTATTGGATTTCCTGAATGCACCATTCTTTCTCCCTATCTTACTTGCTATTCCTGCTATTGGGAATGCCTTCCCTGCCCTCATTTGCCTGGGATACTCCATGTCTTCAAAATTCAGCTCAAACACCTCCAAGGAGACTCCCTGATCTCCACTGGCTTGGATTTGAGTGTCTCACCTCTGACCCCACGGCCTGCTCGTGTCTGTTCTATGACACTGAACACAGACTTCTGACTCAAGACTTCTTGGCTCTTGTCCCCACTAGACTGAGTTGCTGAAAGGCAGGAGCTGCCTGGCTCCTCTCTATATCCCCAGTGCCTAACAAAGGATTTCACAGAGTACGTGCTTAATGCACGTTTGTTGCATTTCGGACAGAAGAATGACATGAACAAAGATACAAAGGATCTATCCAGGAATGGACTGGGCTGCCTGGCCAGTCCAGAGTCCAAGGGCTTACAGCAGGGATGTGTGGACTAAGCCTGGAAAAGAGGTTATATTGGTTCTTTGACGGCCCTGGGAGCCAGGCTGAGGCGTTGGGATTTCACGTGGTATGGTGAGCAGTGGAGAACCCTGAGGTGCTAGATGATCAGAACTGGGCCAAAGACAGGAGGATGGATTGGAGAAGGGGGAGGCAGGGATTAGAGAAAACAGGCAGCTACTAGCTCTGCTTACAGTCAATGAAACGGCAGCTTGGGGAGAGCATGCTCCTCGGGGCCACACAGCTGTTAAGTGGCAGAACTAGGAGCCGAACGAGTTCTGGACTATCGTCAAGTCCAAAGATCTGTACCTCACCACAGGGTTATCAGTAGATGGGGCTTCAAGGTTGTCCACGTGCGAATGGATAATCCATTAGCCAGGATAGGGTAGGTTCTATTGCAGGCACAACACCCAAACCTCTGTGGCTTAAGATGTTTTCTATTCACACAGTCCCCTGTGCTGGACACCTTGAGGCAGCTTAGCCTTCCAGGCTGCTCTGATGTGCCTCCATAGTTCCCACGACAGGGAAAGCACTTGGAGAACCATGTACCAGCTTTATTCTGGAAGTTTTATTGGACACACATACCAACCAGGATTCCATGTGAGAGGACCACACAAGGGTATGAGTACCGCATTGAGGTCATTGGATGTCACCTTGGAGGCTGCCACCACAGGTGTCTTCCTAAGGACCTTCTGCTCAGCTGTCTGTCAGCTCTGCTCCAGGTGAGGGAGAAGCCAGGTCAAGTTTGCCATGACCCTGGGAGGGAGGCAGATCACCGCAGTGTGCAGATGAGGAAACTCAAGGCACAAAGACATTCTGCAGTTTGCCTCACTCCATGTGCTCTTGCACCAACCTGCATAGGCCGCAACCAAAGCATTGACTGTGCAGTGTGGATTTTAGGCATTTGTAAGCCTACCTCTCTCACTGTATATCGGCCTCTCACACTCCATCTCTGCCTCTGCAGCACCTAGCACGGGCCTGGTGCAGAGGAGTGGCCAGATGTGTTAGCCAAGCCTTGCGCACTTCCCTCCACAGCCCCTGCACCAGCCCAAAGCATAGCTGGGCAGGGTGTGGGGAGGCGGGATTGAGAGTCACCT